GTTCTCTGTTCTCTCTTAAATTTGAATGGTCAGTAAGATTTAAATCAGTATCACATAACAGTGAAGTCATCAAATATTTTCTACTTGCAAGTATTTACACCTGTATCTGTCGCTCTGCAACATTCTTACAACTAATGTTAGTTCACATACATTTCACACTCACTGCTGGATGTGACTACTTCAACCAGAGTGATTCTTTATTCTTTATTCTACTTTTAGAGGCCATAAGTTATATTGGGCAAAGATTTAAAAATAACTATAACTATAACTATAATTTTGCCTTCTCACAGCAGACATTTAAAAACACACAATACCAGTAATATCCTTTAGAAACATATTTTAGTAGATTTAACAGGTTCAAGAAATGCACTTAATTTAGATTTTACATTTATTACATATTGACACTGGAATGGCTCAGAAAAAGACAGAGGAGGGACAAAGGCAGGAAGGGAGGTTTTAGGCAGTGTGTGGGTGGGTGTGTGTGTGTGTGTGTGTGTGTGTGTGTGTTCTCACCCCTCATGGAAAACTGTTAAACAGGAACTCCAGGGTGGTGTTTGAGAAATCAAATATTGCCAAGACAAGATGTGCCATGCTAATTGACTCCTATGGTAGGATGCAGATCCCGGGGGGGACGGGGGGGACGGGGCAGGTCATGTCATGGCATGTCCCCCCCAATTTCTGAAAAAAAAGGAATTGTCCACTCCAATAAAAATACCCTAAGTTATTCAAGCTTTGAAGTTGAAAGAAATGATTGAAATGGTGGAACAAATAATGTTTGACAAATATATTTCTGACTCCACATTCTGTCTCTGGTCTCCTCCACTGCAATGCAAATGAATGTTTCTTACACAGACGCTGATGACATCAGCAGGCTTTAAAAAAAACGACCCCCTCAATCTTTCTCTCAGCTCTTGAAAGTGGCTGCAGCCTGGGGCTCTGGTAATTTGCTGCAGAAGCAGATGCCTTTCTGTGAGTAATTCTGAAAGTAGAATACTAATACTAGAACAGTAAAAAAAAAAAAAAAAAAGTAGAACAGCAAACACACCTTTGACTTATTTGCCTAGTTTTGATAGTTTGTGAGTGTAGTGATCAGACTCACATACTCAGTGGTCAATACTCACATGATTGTATAATGAATGGATATGGATTCATGATGTTGTTGAAATAGATCAGCTCTGCTTCTACCATCCCCATTTCAAACCAAGGTGGTTGTTCTGTTTGGTGTTGGTTGGTATTTGTTTCATCTGATTGGTTTGAAATAAACTATTTGAATTGAATTGAATTGAATATTGTTCATGATTTTGTTGAGTCTACTGGTCAGATTGATGATAAAAAAAAGGGCAACATAGGTATTTTGTTATAAGGACTTTTTTTTTATCATAAAACATGACTATATAAATGAATGGATATGAATTAATTGTCAAGTTGTAAAATTATGTATCCTTATTTTATCCAGGGGTTGTCCAGATACAGATAAGAAGAGTTATACAGACAAGAAGCGTTATACAGATGAAAAGAGTTATACAGATACAGGATCTCTTCTTCCAGGGAGTCCTGGAAAATGACAGATGAAAACAAACAAGGAATGATTTTATATAAATTTATGTAAATAAATCAGATTTTGTTGGGTCAACTTGTGTTGTGTTTATTGTGCTCTTAGAACTGTGGTTTTTTTTTTAGAACTGTTTACCAGCAAGAAGATGGCACGTGTATTCTTATCGCTTCTTCTTACATTTTGTTCATCCTATCTGAGTACTCGGGTAGTGCTTGGTCAGGGATCCATGGATGGTTTGCTTCATTTTTTTCTCTCTATCATCCGCTCACTGAATCTGTCTGCCACATTTGTTGCATGGGAGGCGCCATAACGAGAGAGGTGTAGTCATGTGATTTCTTACGGTGTCAGTGATGCCATTGCCATGCTGTAGAGAGCGTTGTTTGCTGTGCTTATTAATCTTATTCATTATCTGGATGCGTGAGGAGTCAAAAGCAACTCATATGAATATTCTTTCTTGGATGGCCTTGCTGGGGTCTGCAAGGTTATTATTAGCTGGGTGATGCTTGCCTCTCGAGAACTCTTATGTTGTAGGGGTGAGTGGGGCACTATAGTGGATCTGTTTTTTTATTTTGCCCGTATGAGCAACTCATACATTGTGTCCGACTCTTATTTATGAAGTTCTACAAGCTTGGTCGTTAGATAGGTGCTCGGACCGTAGATAGTCATGTGTTTAAACTGTGGAATAAATACGTTGCACAGGGATATCAATTGATTGGCTTTACCATGTTGTACTTATGTTTATGTGATGTTTTCTATCAACTAGCCATACATTTGCGTAAAATGAATTGCTTTATTCTATCTTGTTTAGTGGTGGTGTTTGTTTGGTGGTTGGTTGGTATTTTTTGTTTTCTGTTGGTTGGTCTTTATAAATTTTGTTTTGTATTGATTTCGAACTTTGCTTACTTTGTTGTCTTGAATGTTAGTATTTTGTGTTAGAGTCGATTAATTTTTTTATTAGGTGTCTCAGGGAATGGGCTAACGTTACTCTCTATTGTTTTTCTTTTGTATCTTCCGCCTCTCTCTCAACAATGTCCCCAGATCCCCAATTTCTTCATCGAGACCATCTCGATTTCACTTTTGATCGTTGCCAGATAGTATTTGTGTGGACCTTACATTTTTTTGACATCTGGAGGGTTGATATGTTCAGGATGATAAGATATATCGAGAGATAATGAATGAACACATAACCGACCAGAAGCAGATTTTGTGTAAACTAACTGATCAAGTTTTACAATGCCAGTTA